AGGCCCCATCTATTGCTGAGGAGCCGTTTTTTTTTTTTTTTTTTTTTTTTTTTTTGAAAACAGACCCCAGGGTTTGCTAGGGGTGCTGAGGAGCTGCTGCTGGTAGCAATGGGGACATGGCATAAGAGTCTAAGACCCAATTATCTTCACTTCATTTGTTTTCTAAAACCCTCCTCAATTTGGTACTTCTAGTTCCTTTTTTTCGTCTTTTTTTTACTTCGAAACAACGGCGTATGCAGCAGTTTTCGAGTTCGCAAAGGCAGCAAGAACACGCGCCCGCAAAGATATCCCGGGCCGAGTTTGAATCCGCAATTTGGGTTGAAAAGACTCCGTTGGGCCCTCTTTTTTTTGTCTTTTCTTTTTTTTTTCCTTTCCCGGTCTGACACCACGGCCGACCCCTGTAGTTACGACACCTGGCCTGACACCACGGCTGTTGGTCCTTTCATTGTTTTTTTGAAGGTATATGATATGAAAAGGATAGAAAAACCAAAATATCAGTCATCACATGACACATCACATGTAACAACAAGTAGTCGTGAGCAAAGGATTGAAATTGTTTCCGAAAAAGTGGCTCCCCGACCGGTTTCAATCACCGCCAGGTGATCCTCCTCAGGGGGTTTCTCCCACCAAACTCTCCAAGCACATCCCTCAATGGACTACCTACCACTATACCCTCCTCCGTTGCTTCCGGCATCCCGGAAGTGCGGACACACGCCGTTGGTCCGGAACGAGGAATAGGGCAGATCAATCATTGCTTTTATCCCAGTCAGCGATCCGACCGATGGCCTACTTACTGACATCGGTACCAGTCTCGCACGATTCAGACTCATTGGAACTACCGGACCTGTCTGTACCGCTTTCGGGAAGCCAAAAAGTCACGCAAAAAACTACTGAAAGAAGGAAACACAAAACCGACAAGGTACTGTGTTCGAAACCATCCTCTAGACAAACTCACCCCCATCCATACCAACGACAAAGGCAACAAAAACTACAGAATTGTAAGGCGCAGCTACCATGTTCAAACATTGGCCACTGCTGGGACACCTTCAAAACCAAACTACAAATATCCGTGTTACGTATGCCTGCAATTCTTCACAAGTACCTGGTTCCATTCGTCATTTGAAGTCAGCGCATGTTTTCTCTGCCGGCGTGTGTTTCTTTTGCTCATTCGATACTCAAAAGTGGCATCAATGTACTTGCCCCTTTCTTTTTTTTGGGAAAACTAGGGCGCAGTCAAGGTTTTCGGTTTCAAATGCGTTTCAGTCACGGTTTCACGAATTTTGCTCCAAAGAGAGGAAAATTGTGAATGTATCCAACCCAACATTTGGGTTGGGTGGGAAT